GCACCCGATTCCCCATTAATGCCAGTTTTCCTATTAGTGTCAATCTTGAACGTTTCGCAATAATCTACGTGTGTTGGCGCCATACACATTCAAACGGTGCATACTGTTTTCGCACTGTCCTAACCCGCTTTTAAATGTTCGAATAAGCATAACTAATTTCAATTTCCCACCGCAATGTTTCCGCCGTATTACTGGAGCAGTCCTATTATCATTGCTAAGACTCGAACTCGGCTTTCATTAATTTCATTTCCATACAGACCAGGTTTAACCGAGTCAGTCAATAGCGGTTGCACTTCTGTTCTCTCGTGCACATGCTTGTGGTTCCGAAACCACCTACGCCAGGGCGATCTCACTCGTAACTGCACTCGTACACAAGCGTATTCTTTCATCGACGGTTGTGATCCTCTTCTACGGTCATGTGACCTGGAGCAACATGTTTGTGTGTTGCTTTGGCCCCGTTTTTCTCAAATATTGACCCGTATTGGACACTTCGCATTTCGTGTAGCGTTTCTATCGCGCATTGACGCCCACGCATTCCGGCCCCGATTTCAACTAATCTTAGCCGATGCGCTCTCAAGAGGTACGAGGTAGGGCTATTAATTTGCGTGTGATGCGGACTCGTATGGACTCCATCACGTGCATCATAACACATTGTGTTTTGTGTGCAGGGTTTACCATCTGATTAGTAAAACATTGTGAGCAGGTTTTTGCCCCCACCCAACCCTAGAATGTACTGTTCGGGATTGACTCTCGATTAAAATCACTTGGAGGACTAAAATATTACTCCTGGAAGAATAAATTTGAGTTACCAACATCTATCTTTCAAAACAATACTCTGTACGAATTAGAAGTCTTGGGACTGTTAGAAATGTGCATTTCCCGTGCGTGTTTGTAAGACAGAAAAATATGTGGATGAAGTGAATGAGTGCAACGACCACAATGTTGTCTACGCGGCCAAGAAAACCCATTCATATCCTCTGAAGTGGGTGTGGTTGCAACAGTGTAAGTGGGATCGACCTTACCGCAATAACAAGTTTATGATAACTCATTTGACCCAGTTTAATGTCGTACAGATCACTTATAAATTGTGGAATATGGACCGATTGTTGGCCTGACTTCCCAAGGCGAGTTATAATTACTTCTATTTGCCCAAGTGCGTAGGTGACTGCTTTATGACCTGCTAAAAGTGAATTTCCCTAACTAACTGCTACCAGAACAGCCGAAGCACGCTACATTCATTCATGAGTTCACAGCCTAAAGTGCTGTATTTTATTTTTGGTATAGTATGGTATTGGGACTGGTTTACTGTCGATATCTATTCGAGGAAGGAGCCGAAAGAAGTAATGGAATTTGATAGACCAAAATCATCATGTGCGATTTTGAAAGGAATACGATTGAATCAATGACTTGGATAAAGAGGTATGCAAAATGGTATACGAAAGTAAACCTCCAGGATTCTCTTAATGAATGATTTTTTAATATGAAAAAGTTTATCACTCCACAAGTAAGCCTCCAGGAATAAAACATTGCACATCTGTCTATACCACAATAGCTGTATTGTGATTTTCAATGTCTGTACACGGACATTCTTTTCGTAGACCCACCGTCTCTGTCTTCCTAGATCTGAAAACGGCTTTCGACTCAGTCGACCGCTCTAAACTCTGGCGCTGCTCTTCCCTGAATGTTGTGCCCGAGAAGTTGATTTCAATATTACTATCCCTTTATACTAATAGCCGAAGTTGAGTCCGGGCTTACGGCACTTTTTCGCCCGAGTTCACCATGGAAAGTGGTGTTCGTCAGGGTTGCCCTCTTTCGCCTTTTCTATATAACCTTGTTAGAGATTTGATTATGGAGACAAGCCTATCCTCGTGCGAGGTTAGTAGCATTGGTTTAGTCGAAATTCATATCCATTGCGAGTATGGCTGCGATCAGTGAGGTTCGTCTCCCTGTATTTCACTGTACGATAAAGATGATCCCAGGCGGCAGACAACATTGTATTGCTAAGTGAAGTTACAGGTAAGTTGCAAGCTTTTTTGGACAGCTTGGATGCCAGTGTAGCCATGTTCGGTATGCGTTTCGCACC